TTCATTCCCGTTCGAACTAATTTCGCCATGGATAAGTATGATGAGTTGTACATTAAAGAGATAATTCGATTGTATGGTGTTCCTGTTTCGATAGTTTCTGACCGAGATCCACGATTCACATCGATATTTTAGAAGACTTTACATGGAGCCCTAGGGACTTGATTAAATTTTGGCATAGCTTTTCACCCTCAGACAGATGGACAGTCCGAGAAGACTATCTAAATCTTGGAAGACATGCTAAGGGCATGTATTATCGAGTTCAAGGGATCTTGCAAGAAGTACTTGCCAGTTACAAAATTTGCCTATAATAACAACTACCAGTCAAGCATTAAGATGGATCCCTATGAGGCTTTATATGGGAAAAAAGTGTCGTATCCCCAATGAATTGGTACGAGCTCAAGGATCAGGATGTTTTGGGTCCTGATCAGATTAAAGAAGTAGAAGAAAAAATTCCTGAGATTCAACACAATCTCAAAGTGGCATCCAATAGGCAGAAGTCATATGCTGATCTAAAGAGGAAAGAAATTGAGTTCGAAGTTGGAGATAGGGTATTCCTGAAAGTATCTCCGTGGAAGAAAGTTTTACGTTTTGGTCGAAAAGGAAAACTTAGTCCCAGATTTATTGGGCCATATGAAATTGTTAAGAGAATGAGACCAGTGGCATATTAATTAGCTTTGCCACCAGAAATGGAGTAAATTCATAATGTTTTCCATGTATTCATACTTCAGAGATATCGATCCGATTTATCTCATATCATTGCACCAAAAGAAACATAAATTCAACCTGACTTGACTTATGAGGAAGAACCGGTACAGATTTTGCCATATAAAGCTAAACAGCTAAGAAATAAAATGATTATGTTGGTCAAAGTTTTTTGGAGGAATCACAAAGTTTAGGAAGCAACATGAGAACGTGAAGAAGATATGCATAGACAATTTCCCCATCTTTTTGTGCAGTGAAAATTTGAGGACGAATTTTCTTTAGGATGAGATTTGTAACATCTCAAAAACTGGGATAGTGGCCAAAGTGTAAGATTTTAAAACTTCGTGTCTTAATTCAAAAAATTTAAAAGTTTAGGGACTTAATTGGAATATCTTTGTATATGATTGAATAGAAAAAAAAGAATGATGGAAGGGCATAATGGTCATTTGATAAGAAAATGAATTTGAATTCCTTAAGTGGTGTATTATATACACGTGGAAAGGAAATAATAGGTAACTCATATCTAGAAATTTCTTCATCTTTTTCCTCCTCTCCATCGTGAGCTCCACAGCTAAGGTAAGAATGCTTTCAGTTGGTTATTTCTTGTAAGTTATGAGTGGTTTTGATTCTTGGAGTATTAGGAAAGCTTAAGTAAACTTATAGAGAAGTAGAAACAAAAAGATTTATATGTTATGAGAGATTGAATATAAAGGGTTTTTAAGTGATTTGATAAGAAATGGTTAATAAATGGATTTTGAAGTGAAATTTGACTTGTCATAAGTTGAAATAAGAAATCTAAAGTGTTAGATGATATGGATTTGAGACATGATGATTATTTGGTATGATTTTGGGTTTCAAGTGTTCTAGTTAGATATTGGATGTTAAGAGGAGATAAAGTGATATAAGTTGATTTGAATAGGTGTAGTCGAGTTTAAAGGCTTTAAAGAAGAGTAAAGTGAGGAAGTTAGTGAAGTTTTGGAAAATTTTTGGGTTAAATGAGTGAGTTATGGGCAAGGGGTATTGGTATTGGATGAACAATACCGATACTTCAAAGTGAAAATAGGTGATATCTGGATATGGGTATCGATATTGGATGAACAGTATCAATACCATAAGGTAAAAATTAAGGAATCCTTCAAAGAGTATCGATACCAAAGTAGTAGCATCGGTACTAGGAGTATCGATACCAATGTTTAAGTATCAATACCATTTTTTATAACTGAATTCCAGAATATAGAAAGGGTATCGATACTGAAGTATAGTATCGATACCACAATAAGGAAGTATCAGTATTGTACCTTGGATTCCAAAACTATTCAAAGTGAGATGGTGAATTAAGTGCTAAGTTTAGCTTATGTTATTCAGGATTAATTATAGTGATGTGAACTCAGACATTTATACCAATCTTATTATTGTGTAGATATCGAACAAAGACAAGTTCTGGATGATTCAAAGTTATAGGATTAACCAAGAGTGATAAGTGTGTTGCTTTGACTAAGTGAGACCAAGGTGAGTGCATATTACTATGTATATGGTGTTTTATGGAAATAAGACTTGCAATGAGTCTATTTCCAATGTGTGATTACATAATATTCATGAATACAAGTATATTGTTGATATTGTTTTCTATGTGTACATGAATACAAGCATATGTCTATGGGTTACATGCACTGTTTTAAATTACTTATGTGTTATATGATCTATATGATGATATGAGAATATGACATAAGCTATGTGAAAATGAATTTATGTGAATAATGTCTATGTGATGAGCTATGTGCAAAGGTATAAATGGTAAATCCCATAAGTATGTGATATGAGAGATAAAGGTATAATTAGCATCCCAAGAGTCTAGGGTTCTTTCCTTCGAGACAATTCTACGTGGTCCTTCGGGACATTTCTACGCAGTCCTTCGGGACATTTCTACGTGGCACTTTGGTGTAAATTTCTACATGACACTTCGGTGCAATTATACGAGTTGTGGTGACAGCATTTGTACACAACCTCAATGCACTCACATACCTTAAGTTCTCAATGATATACCATGGGCTATTAAAAGAAATAACATGAATGAATAGTGTATAATATTACATGTTCTTGTTTGGTGAAGTGTGTAATGTTACATGTTATTGTTTTGTGAAATATATGATACATTCTATATTATGAAAGTTTATGATTACATGTTTCAAAGTTTCATTTATGCTGATATGCCTCACTAAGTCAAAGACTTAGTGTGTGAATGTTTCACACGTAGGTTCAAAGAAGTCTGGAGATCAAGAATAGGCAAATCAAGACAACATAGTTCTACAGAAGATCAGATCATAATCGAATTAAGATGTATGCCTTTTATTATATGGAATTTTGTTGGCATGTAAATAAATGTTTAAATTGTATAGGCTCTGATCAGTTTTTGTAAACTTATTTATTGTATATATGAAAAGTATTAAGTTTTTAATTTCAATTTGAATTTGAATTTCATAATACTTTCATTTAAGAGTTCCACCATTTTGTTATCAATAAATGTTTAAATTTTGACTAGTTTTTTTAAGTAAACGATTTGAAAGGTCAATGTGACATCTCGGATTCGTATCTGGGTCGAATACGGGTTTGGGGTGTTATAAAACAAGTCTGATTAATCTGTCAAGAAGGTAAAATACTTTTTATTTTCCTATTTTCGTTAGAGTAACACACAGTTGAGAAAAACATGATAAATTTTACAATTTCCCATCAAGACGTATATTACACTCAAAATGCTTCAACTGGAATTCCAAATTCAATTTTTCTTGCTTAGTGAAATCAAAAGGATAGCATTTTTCAACAAGAGTGCAAATATAATTGATATTAAAAGATTTGTAATCTTCATTCGATCCAAAGCAGATATAAGTTTCAGAAGATCCATTGCCTCGTGCTAAACCTTGTATTCAATTATTTCAATTGAAAATCATAACCTCATTGAATATGTCAAAATGTTAATGGTGTTCCACTATTACTTGGTTTTTTGGTGTTGTTAGCATTTACCTTCAAAATTATGCATTTAAATCAGGAATATTCAAATCATTCTTTTCACAAAATATATAGAATGAATATGTGAGCCCCAACGAGTATCTCCAACTCATTTTAAAGTGCTAATTTGATTAGCACCTTTTCCAGTTTGAAGCATTTGTTGTTAACATATGTGCAATTGTAGCTTCTTGAATAACATGTAATTCTTCATGGCGTTTGCACGAGGCATCAACAGAATTGATAATGAAAGTTAAATTATAAAAAAAATCGTGAATAGAATGTACCTCTCGAGATGCAGCAACAAGAGCCAATTGTAACCGGTGAGTAGAGTAATGCACTTAATAAGATGAAGAACAATCATTAAGAAATAATGCTTGCAATCCTTTCCACTCCCCACGCATATTACTAGCTCCATCGTAACCTTGACCACATATATCTTAACATCAAGACCATGACAAGCTAGAATAACACATATTCCATTTTTAAGAGTTAATGAAGATATATCTTTAACATGCGCAGATAAAAAACTCTCTCTAATATAACCATCTTTATCAACAAATCTCAAAGCAAGAGACATTTGTTCTCTTTTGGATTCATCATGAGCTTAATCAACAATGATGCAAAATTTTGAATCTCCAATATCTTCACGAATCTTGTTCCGAACTTTATTAGCAATAACATGTAAAATCTCCTTTTGAATTAAAGGAAAAACATACTTAGCATGCTTAGAGGCATTTTCCAACACAAGTTTCTTAACATCTTCATTATAGGATGCCAAAAGCTCAATCAACTCAAGAAAAAAATCCACGATTGTTTGAATTAATTGTCTCATCATGGCCTCTAAAAGCATCTATCAACACAAGCTTGAAATGCAAGCCATCTAACAGAACAAGCTTGAAATGCAAGCTATCTAACAGAACAAGCTTGAAATGCAAGCCATCTAGCCACATCTATCAAAGTCTTGACTCGTAACCTGTTATTTAAAATTTTGTTTGGAATTTTCTCTATGTATTACTTTGTTTATATGCCCAGATTGCTTCATCAAATCCATACAAGATCTTTTCAATAAATAATATCTACGTGGTTTCCAAATTTCAAAGTAATACACATTCTTTTAGGTAATTAAACCTAATAATTTATTATACACATCTTTTTTGAGGTGGCCCATTTAGTAATTTAACACATATTTATTTATTTATTTATTTATTTTAAAAATATTTTTTTTGGGTGGGGCATGACCCCCTCTAGCCCCTTAAAGCCTCTACGCATATCTGGCAGGATCTCCATTAACGATTTGACAAGGTTGACAGTTCAAGGATTTTCTTTTTCACCGGGAAATTGCAACCATCAGCCAAGGTGATTCCACGATTTCTTATTACCTTAATCTTTTGAAACTTTTACGGGATGAATTCAACTCTATTGTTCTGATTATTGTTTGTGATTGTGGTGTTTATCAACAAAGCACGAAGCATCTTGCTCAACAAAAACTCGTTCAGTTTCTAATGGGGCTTAACAAGGCATACACTGCAATTCGCAGTCAAATCTTGTTAATGCAATCATTACCATCGGTTAATCATGCCTATTCGATGCTTGTTCAAGAGGAATCGCAATGATTGCAGCTTTCTGGGGTATCTCCGATTTCGGATGCGAAAGTCATGTATTACAATTCCTCTTGTTCAAGAGAGTCTCGTAGGTTTGCAAGAGTCTGTGATCATTGTGACATTCGGGGTTATAAGAAGGATAGTTGTTATCGATTACATGGTTTTCCTCCTGGTTTTAAGTTCACTAAGAAGAAGCCTTCTTATGGGAATTTGGTTGCTAGTTCCCAACATGTTGAGTTGGACACAGGGTCTGGTGTTGGTGGATCCAGTGCTATGGCTGCTATAGTTTTTACTCGTGAGCAGTACAATCAGCTGCTTGAGCTTTTGAATAGGCCTCCTCCGGTCGAGCCAACAACTAAGTTGGCAGGTACTGTTTCTCATGGTACTTCTCGTGATTTCTTGGATACTAGATACAGGGGCTGCAGACCACAAGTTGTCTATTTTTTGTAGCTTATAATTGCCTATTTCATGTGCTAATGTGTCTCTGCTTGTTCATCTTCCAAATGGTAAAACAACCTCTATTACCCATGTTGGTTCTTATTCTTTTGACCCTAACCATGTGTTTTCTAATGTTTTATTTTTATCACACTTTACACATAACCTTCTTTCGATTCCAAACTCACTAAAGATCTAAATTGCAGTGTTACCTTTTATCCTGACTTTTGTATTTTATAGGATCTTTGCAATGGAAAAATGAAGGGGATTGGTAAAGAGTCTCGTGGTTTGTGTCTTTTTGATTCTTCGAGTTTGGTGTCCAGTATGTCTTCTGCTTCTTATTGTGTTGATTCTTCTTTGGATTCTGTTTTTCAGCTCTCATTCTACACAATTTATGCTTTTTTCCTCTATTAATAAAACATCAATTTGGCATGGTAGATTAGGGCATGCTTCTCTTAATGCTTTACATAAGACTCCATTTTTCATACCATTGATTTTCAATATGAATGTATCCAAACGTGCTCTATTTGTCCTCTAGCAAAACAGTCTATGTTACCATTCCTTTTAAGTTCCTCTAAGGCTTCACAACCATTTGAGCCAATTCACATAGATTTATGGGGACCGTATTGTGTTTCTAATTAAAGTGGACAAAGCTTGTTTGACAATTGTTGATGATTGCACTCGAATGACTTGGATGTACTTGTTGAAACTTAAAAGTGATGCCTTGCGTTTTCTTAAGAATTTTTTGTTTGTTTGTTCAAAACCATCATTCGACTTCTATCAAGACTATTAGGAGTGATAACAATTAAATTTTTTTTAGCTCTAATTGTTCTGAGTTATTTCTTTTCCTTAGAATAACTCATCAAAGTTCTTATATTCGTACACCTCAGCAAAATGGGGTCATTGAAAGAAAACATAGGCACTTGTTAGAGGTTGCTCGAGATCTACAGTTGCACTCGAATGTTCTGGTTAAATTTTGGGGGGAATATGTTACGGTTTCTTTTTATATTAATCGGTTTCCTTCTATTGTTTTAAATTAGAAAAGCCTTTTTAAAGTCTTTTATAATAAATCACCAAATCTTTCTCATACGAGGGTCTTTGAGTGTCTTGCTTATGCCACCAATTAAGTCCAATTGATAATTTTCTCCACGAGCCGTTCCATACATTTTCATGGGGTACTCAGCTACTCAAAAGGGATATATTTTATTTGATCTTGCTGATAAACAGTTTTTTGTTAGTAAGGATTTGGTATTAAAAGAAGATATTTTTCCTTTTACTTTTCTTGTGTTGAATCTTCTCATTTCTTTCCTTTGCCATCTTACCTCATTTTCTAAGTTTTTGCAGCTTGTTCCTCAGTTTGTTCCTCCTTCATCCATGCCTATTTCTTTGGGTTCCATGGATTCAACAAGTAGGTCTTAGTCACCTCCTGTGCATTATTCAATAGTTCCTATTTTGGATTCTTTTCATGATGCTTCTCTACATGCTGTTACATTCCCAAATTATGTTTCTGATTCACCTACAATTGAGTTCTATCCTATCCTAGTTCAACAAAAGTCCACTAGGAATGTTCGACCTCCACTTTGGCTCAATGATTATGTCACTCTTGTCAATCCTCTTCACCTTCAGGAAAGTATCCTATTTCTTCCCATATCACCTATCTCATTTACCTTTACATACTCAATGTTTTATTTCATCTACTTCTTCTTTTGTTGACCTGAAAACTTATAAAGAAGATGTTTCTAATCCTTTGTGGTTCAAGCCATGGATGAGAACTCTCTACTTTAAAAGCAAACAACATGTGGTCAGTGGTTACTTTGTCTTCAGGAAAGGTTCCAATAGGATGTAAGTGGGTTTATAAAATCAAGTATAAGGCGAATGGTGATGTGGATAGGTTCAAAGCCCATTTGGTCGTTATACTCAGCAGGAGGGAGTGGACTATGTTGATACCTTCTCTCCAGTTGCGAAGTTGGTTACTGTTCACACGTTGTTGGCTCTAGCTTCGGTTTTTTCATTGGTCATTGCATCATATGGATGTTTATAATGCATTTCTTCAGGTGATCTATTTGAAGAGGTTTACATGACTTCTGGATGGCTTTTGCAACCGGGGAGTCCAAGTGTGTAGGCTGCAAAAATAACTCTATGGCCTCAAGCAAGCCCTTCAGTAATGGAATCTCAAGTTAACTGAAGCATTCATGTAGCAGGTTATCAACAAATTAAACATGACTATTCAATGTTTACTAAGCAACAAGAGGAAAATTGTCATCAGTTATTTATAGATGATCTCCTTATAACCGGAGTGATGAACAGTTGATTGAGGAGCTCAAAGGATTCTAAAAGAGCTTCAAATGAGGATCTTGGTGAGTTAAATATTTTCTAGGACTAGAAATTTTAAAGACAAAGGAAGTTATTGTTCTAAATCAGTGAAAATATGCCTTGGAATTGACTGAAGATACGGGAGTAGACGGAGCCAAACTAGCCTTGACTTATTTGGAACAAAATAAGAACTTACCACTTCAGAATATGATGAGAAGTTTGGTAAAAGTGAACCGGATGATGAGTTCTGCTTGATAGGACAATATTCCAAAGGCTAAGTGAATGTCAGTTAGAAGCTTTATGCGATTCAGATTGGGCTTCATGCCTAGTGACGAGGTTTTGCATTAAACTAGGGGAGTCCCTAATCTCTTGGAAATCTAAAAAATAGAGCACGGTTGCTAGATTGTTAGTGGAAGCAGAATATAGAAGCATGTCTGAACAACATCCGTAATAGTCTAGTTGAAGGGGCTGTTAGCAGAACTTGGCGTAAAGGGAAAATAACCTGTCAAGCTGAACTATGACAGCAAGGTTGCGTTACAAATTGCAGCCAATCCTGTTCTCCACTAGCAACGAAGCACAAAGAATCGATTGTCACTTTGTGAGGGAAAAGATTCGTGAAAGTCTTCTACAAGAAGAATATGTGAGATCAGAATAACAACTTGGTGACATAATGACCAAGGCACTCAGGGTTCAACACATGAGTATATGGTTGCCAAGTTGGGGTTTAAAGACATTTTTCAACTGCCAACTTGAGGGGGAGTGTTAACTCGGTTATTTTCATTTAATTTAAAGTTTGTTAGGAGTAGTTAGGAAGCAGTGTTTAAAGACATCTTTCAACTGCCAATTGAGGGGATAGTTAGTTTAATGGTTAATAGAGCATTTAGTTACTGCCAAGGTGTATATTAGTGTTTTGTAAATGATAAGGGCTGAAATCTAAGTGCATTTTCCAATAGATTCTCTCGTTTAACACTTTCCTCCAACCGGTGTTACTACGTCTTGGTTTTGATGCTACATGGGTGACTCTTATTATGTCTTGTGTCTCTATCATTTCCTATCGGGTTTAGATTAATGGGGCTCACGGATGCCTTCACACCAAAGTGAGGTCTTCGACAAGATCTTTTATCTCCATTTCTCTTTGTTTTATACTCCACAGGCTTGTCATCCATGCTCCATTTAGAACAACACCATGGTTTACGAGTGTGCGAACAAAGTCCTCGGATTACTCACCTATTATGTAAAGGACTGTCTTTGTTCCGTAACAAAGCTGTTGAATTTGGTCGGGTGCTTGCTGTGCTTGATTAATATAAAGTTGCAATGGGAAAAAATGGTGAATTACGCCAAATTAAGTGTTTGCTTCAGCCTCGTCACTCATGTAACTATTTGCGATCATTTGAGCACCGCTATCGATGTCAATCTAGTGGCTGATGCGAGACTTTATCTTGGAATGCCTTTGATTGTTGGGCGTAATAAAAATGCTTCATTTGGATTCATTCAGGATAGAGTCTTATCTCGTATTCGGCGTGGATGAAGAACTTAGTTTGTTACAGAGGTTGTGTCATTTAATTAGTGGTTTTACTACGCAGACGTGTGCCATTGCTCCCGGAAGAGCAAACAATGATGCGAAGAAGCATTCACACACACAATATCTCATCTGCTTGTTTAAGAGATGGTCTGGTAGAAGCTGAAGTAACAAAAGCTGCAACTTAGAGTTTATCTCATCCCGTAAAAGCCAAGTAAGAACGTAGTAGGTTAGGTTTTGTGAGACTTGGAAGTAGAGGGATGGTTTAAGAGTTGTAGGAGTAATGAAGAGATGGTCAATGATGATTGAGGTGTCTGGAGCAGATAGGATGGCCAACAGTGTCAGTGCGCTGATTACATGGCACTGGATGGCCAAGATAGAGATGCTAATGGCCATGAGCATTTGCATCCGACGTGTGGAGTGTTTGATGAAGATTATTGTCCACATGTAGCTAGAGCCTGTGAAGATACGTTCAAAAGCCTTGCTCCTACACTAAAGACTAAGGGGCATGAAGTCCAAACGGAAGGAATTTGTAGGATTAAAAGGACTTTGAGAACAAGCTAAAGATGCATATTCTTGAGTAATTTTTTAGGAGTCTGAGATACAGTCTAAGATACAATTTTGAATTAAGCAATTGAAGATTGTCAAGTGGAATATTTTTAGTTTGGAGTCGAATGCTACACTTTCAAAGATGAGGAATGTAGTATGATGAAATATGTAGATAACATTTTTATTCCAGAAATCAAGATGAAGTTGTTGTTTTGAATTCAGATGGAGTATATAAACAGTTTGGGATAAAATACTGTTTTAGAAGCTTGATGAATTTGTGACTAATATGTTATTTAGAGATTGCAAAGTTGGATGGTTTCCAAATGGTGTGTTTGTTATAGCGGCTGGTATTGTGTTAAAAGTTTTCGGAATTTATTTTTGCTAGGCCTCTTAGGTGTTATAGATTTTTACAAGCTGTGATATATAGGAATGATGGTCTTTTGAAATTGGGTTGGGTGTCTTTCATTGTTTGTGGAGTTAATTAGTATTTTAATTGAGAATAGATAGTGATTAGGTTGGTGTTAGTGTGGATGATTTTGTTTCAACGATCGACTTTGGAAATTGTTAAAAAAATACTTTAATTTAGTTTTTGTCGTAATTCTCTTTTTTTCTAATCGTAGCATTCTTTCTTTCTTTATCTTTGTGACCAACGATTCAATCATCGCTGGTGTGGTCATCAACCGCTAATATTTATTGGTTTTCTTTTAT